CCAATCTTTCAGCACCGCACAGAGCTGGTCTCACACCTGACTCTCCAGCCTTCCTCCCACTGCCCAAACGTAAGACCACCGTGGGGTGTTGGGGCACAAAGCTGACTGACATGCAGACACCTGCTTCCTCAGACAAACCCAGGGCAACAAGCAGCAGCTTCGACAGGGCTACTTCCCCAGAAGAGGCTGCACAGGATCCAAGAGGGGACGAGACTGACCTCAACCAGGGGACATGGAGCAGGGCCCCAGAGCAGACGATGGAGATGAGCGCCTCTCCCTCCACCACCCCCAACCACTCCAGCTCCTGCCCAGCGCTGGACAGCTCCGTCCAAAGGCTCCTCGCGGCACTGCTGTTCCTGAAGTCCTTTCTGCACTAACCCTCCGTCCATCACCCCACAGGACAGTCTGTTACGCCCTCACCAGGATCCCCAGCGCAGCCACAACTCGGGGCGATGATCGAGCACTCGATGGCTCGCCGGTGAGGCAGGGACCCCTGTCACTCCAGCTCCCGCAGGCCCACGTGCAGTCACGCTTATTACACGCCCTTGAGCAGAGCCCAGCTAACACACGCGCTGGGTGAAGTAACCACAGCACCAGAGCAGACACGACTACTCAGCCCAAATCTATGTGTCCTACGCGGACCTGACGGGAAATGCAGACAATACAGATCACGGAGTTAAAGTTCCGTTTTAAACCCAAATGTCTCATGAGTTCCCAGACGGCTCTACAGTCAGTTCCCTGTGTGAAGAGGCCATACTCACAGCACTATCGAACTCGATGCTTGTAATCCCGGCGTTGCTACCCGTGAGGGAGCCCCTGTGCTCACACTTGTCTACATTAAGGAAGAAAACGGAGATTCAGCAAAGACAGGAGCAAAAGTCTGATGAAACAAACACCACAGCCTCCCTCCTTCCAGCTCTGGGCCAAAGGAGCAAGGGTCCCGAGAACCAACAGCCACACATCTGTTACTTAGAAAGGTTCCTGGACTCTTCCATAAAGTCGCCAGGGCCTGGGCTTCTCCAAGGGGGATGAGCTGAGGACTGAACATGCTGTTTGTGGACCACAGGGCCCAAATCATATGGACCGACAGTATCACAACATAACACGTGCTGCCAAATGTCCTTTTACATCCAGACGTGTGGGGACTTCTGCGTGTACCCCACCAAACATCCCTGCAATCTTAGCTCAGACTAGAGTTTATGTCCACTGCTCAGCAGAGAGGGAGCAAGTGAGACCCCAGCCCGACTTCCCCATGTACCTTTCTCACCACCAGGAGAATAACAGGGTTTGTGATTATAAATGGCAAGAGCTGTGACCTTGAGGTCTTTGAAAATCAGGTTTTATCAGTGCCTAAAACCAAACCCTCCCTGACAGTGATGCTACAGGGCGGGGAGAGCTGCCCCGGGGTCCAAGGCCGTGGGCTTCACAGGTGCAGAAGCGGCCTCTTTCTCCTAAAGAGCCACAGGCAGATGTGAACTCCCGAGTACTGGGAGTCTGAGCCTTCCTGACACGCCCTCACAGCACCCCCTCACCTGTGAACACTTCCCAGAGCTTGACCCGGCGGTCCATGCCCCCGGTGGCCAGCAGCCGGGACCCAGGGCTGAACTGCACAGCGTTCACTTCTCCATCGTGTGCGTCCTGGAAGACATGGGGGGTTGCCAGTCAGGTTCGTGGCCGGCAGAGCTGACCACCACCCACAAGACACTGAACGTCCGCACCCAGGGCCTCTCACCAGAGCTCAGACACGTGCCCTGAGAGGCGGAGATGCGAGACGTGCACGCTCCAGCTCTCTCTAGAAGCACTGAAGCTGTATGGTGGGACAACTCCTCAGAGCTCACCATACAAAAGGATTCAGGTCTCATGCCCCAGTTCTGTGATAAGCAGGCCTTCGATAAAAGCAAACACTATCAAGTTTTGAGAATTCAGACACTGCACAGGGAACGTTCCGAGACTGCTGTCAACGACGGGAAGGAAGCGTACGCGACCTGAGGAGGACAATCAGCTCTCCGTCCCAGGACAGGAAGGCGTCACACTGCCCTACCCCCTCGTGGAGAAGCACGGTGTCTGGGTTTGCAGGAAGTTAGTCCAGCAGAGCTGGAGGTGGGAAGATGTGGTCGAGTGTGTGAGGGAGTGTGTGGAGGTAACAAAAGGACAAACAGATGGGCGGGCACTGACACTTGACCGCGTGACTGGCTGAGAACACCCAGGATTTCCCTCTCCTGGATTTTCTGTTGCTGAAACGCCTCTGAACAAAGTTGGGTGATTTTGTGAAAACAGGGAAGGTAAAGATGAGGTCATGATGTAGCCCCTCCGTGACCTGCCAGCAGGTGAACGGCTGCAGGTGTTATGACTCAGATGCATCATTTGGGGAAGTGGCCTCGCACACTCAGGACTCTGCCCGCCCGCACCCCCACCTCACAGCTCAGTCGGCGACTCCCCGCCTGGTCCTCCACGGCCCCCACGCAGGTCTCAGATTGAAAACTTGAGATCACGCACCGCCATGCCCGCCGGACCCGAGCCTCCTGCAGAACCGCTGCCTGTCGGACACGTGCCAGCCGTGCGTCGACAGCTCTCAGAAACACGGGTGGCACAGTCCCAGCTGTCAGCCGCGCCGGGTTCCCGACACACGGCTCAGTGACGGGGAAGCGGGTGGGCGGCTGGGAGGCGAGGCCAGGACGGGCTGTGGCGCTCGGTGCAGTCAGACCTTTTACCAATCATCACAGACCCTGTGGAGCTCCCGTGTCCCTCACTCGAAACAGGGACTGACCGGTGATGGCTCGTCTGTCAGCTCCTCCCCTCCTGCCCCTTCCCGCGCTGCCACCCCGAGCCAGCCCGAAGTGCGGATGGCCCGCGTGACACCACGCAACGGCCGCGGCCCAGGAACAGTGCCCTCTGCCCACCACGGCAAGCAAGGTGGGCCTGGGACGCCACTTACAAAGACACACATCGCGGTGGTGGGCACCCTCACGTCTCTGCCGGAGCCAAGGTGGGCGTCAACGTTGTCTGCGGGCACCGGGGGGGATGAGACTGAACGCCTCCTGAGGACGACACAAAGGGGCCATGAGGGGCGGCAGGGGCCTGGCTCTCATCAGGTTGGCAGCAAGGGTGGAATGTCGCCCAAAGCAAGTGGACAGCTGGACCGCCCTCATGGACAGCTGGACCGCCCTCGTGGACAGCGTCCTTCTCCTGCCAGGCCCTTTGCACACAGTTCATGGGACTCCCAGGGTGTCCTTGCCCCGAACGGCGGGCACTCTGGGGGTAGCCGCTGGCCTCGGAGACGTGTGCCACCTGAGAAGCCGGGGCTGTGAGGTCCCCTCGTGGTGGGGCTGTGCATGCCAGCCGGGCGGGCAGCCACGCGTGCGGGACAGAGGCAGCCCCCGCCCGCTCGGGCGCCCGCAGCCCCGGGGACATGCAAAGCGCCGGTGCTCAGACCGCGTGAGCCGCAGGGGGGCACCAGCAGCGTGACCAGCAGCGGCCCCACTCGCATGCGGGGGACACGAGAGTGGTCTTCACCTGGCAGCGTCGGAAGGAGGGTGGTGTCCCGAGAGGGGAGACTCGGACAGACTAGAGGGAAAGGCCAGAGGTGAGCTTGCAGCAAGAGGAGGAGGAAGGGTGTCAGGGAGGAAGAAGAAGCTCTGGGAGAGGCTGAGAGTGAGGCCCCTGGCGCCCTGCCCCACGGCACGTCTGTGCGTCAGGACGACGGAGAAGCCGTGACACGTGGAGGTGGACCAACACATAGACAAGGCAAGGGAAGTGTGCTAACCTACCCAAAGATATTAGTGATAGAGTCCAGAAGGCCTCCAGCAGGCTGGGGGAGCCGCTTACTAGAGGGGAGGGAGGACAGGTTTAAACCTTTGAAACATCGCGCCCCAACCATCAATCAATACAAACAGTCCACGAGAAGGCGGCGGGCACACGTCCCGATTCGGCCCCCAAACCCCAGCCGCGGGAAACCCGACAGGAGACCAAGCCACCAGAAGACAGTGGGGAGAGGTGGGGGCCCAGCTGAGGCGCTAAAAAAAGAAACCAGGTCCCTGGCATCGCCTCCTGGAAGCAATGCTTCCGACAAGGACGCTGCCTGTTAACCAGTATGCTGGTAACCCAGCCGTGTCCTCCTCACACAGCTTCCGCAAACCAACAGATGCTCTGTGGGTCCACAGGCTTCCAACCCCCAACGTTCCATCCCTCCAGCCGCTCCGAGGGACACGAACGGCCCTGGAACCCCTCGGGCACCTCTCCTTCCCACAGGCCCTGAGTCACCACCGACTTGCTGGTGGAGGTTTTAGCAAATAGAACAACATTCCTGGACCGAGGAATCCAGCAGTACGACCCTTAGCCCTTCATGCAGGGCCCTGCTGCATGACCCGGGGCGTGCTGCCTTCACAGCTGCCCGCTGGCACCATGGGCACGGGCCCCCTCAGGGGGCGTGGCTCTAGGAGGAGCCACCAAGGGGCCATGAGCGCCATCCGACTGTGGCTGGAGTCCTGGCCTGCTGCCCCGCCGCTGTCTACTTACGTCGCCGCTCTGCTGACGGTCCGCACCGGGGAGGGCTCTTCAGGGTGGTCGGAGGTCTCGTCCAGAAGGACTTCAATGTCATCGTCCCTGCAAAGGGAGGGGGTGAGGGGCTGCGTCTCTTGCTCTGCGTGACAAAAGCTCTGTGTGGGCTGCTGGCCGACACCGTGTGCCAATCGCACACACCCCATGCACACTGGCCAGGACAGAGATGGTGGCTACGCTCTGGAGGGGTCACTGAACTGCACAAACAAAGATTCAAGGGACAGGGTCAACGGGCAGCAATGAGCATGGCAAACAGTGCAAGAAGCAGCCAGGCGAGTAAGCCAAGAAACCCTTGGCTACTGGTCCCGAAGGACAGAGTAGAACTGTCAGGGGTCCCCGTCACACTGACAGGAACCAGCAGAGCATCTTCTCCCAGAGCAGCGGGCTGAGCGCTCGGCCACCGCACCACCAGGGCGCCTCTGGACACGCAGCAGTGAGACCCCGGTCACACTTCTGCCCGAGATTTAACTGACGACAAAAGCAGAAGAGCGAAAGCGTCACGCAGCTCGTCCTCAGCCCTGAGTGTTTTCTGCTGAAGTGCTCAGAGCTCTGGGTCCTGTCTCAGATCAAACACTGTCACCTAACAAGCTGTGCCCACTCTCATCCCACAGGACACGCACACCCTCGGCAGCCCCTTCCCCTCCACCTGCCGGCTCCCCCTTTCCTGGTTGATGGAAAGACAAGTCATTCATAGAACCCTCCCCCGGAGAAGACAAACGGTGAAATGTCACCTGCGGTCGGAATGTCCCCAGGACTGGTCACCGGGACCAGGCAGATACATACTTGAGAAGGGGGCAATCGGCCAAAACAACGTGGAAGAAAGCTTTGCTTGCGTCTCTAGGCGCACACATGAACGCGTCCTGAGTGTGTGTGTCAGACAGAAAGGCGGGCAGGGTGAGGCGCGGCTGGGGCCGGCAGCAGCGGTGAGAGCAATGCAAGGCGGGCCTCACGGGTGACACTGGGTTCAGATCCTTTCGTCTCAGGACCCCTCAAAGTCTCAGCGCCCCAGAAAGACCAAGACTTGGCAACGATCCTCCAGAGAGTCTGTCTCTGTCCTCTAGTCCCACAAGCCCCCTCTTAGAAGCTGGGGACTTGGGGCGTCTGGCCCTCCCGCAGCCTGGGGCAGGCCACTGGGCCCCTCAGCAGTGTCCCGGCTCCTGCACACCTTTCAGGGAAGAGGGTGGAGGCCGCAGGCTGCCTACCCTCCAGGACCCACAGCCCACTTGCAGGCTGAGGATGGTTCACTGTGTGGCTTCAGCAAAACCTTTCTGAGCTTCGGCCTCCATCTGCTGCGGCTCAGCCCGCGGACGTGTCCTCAGTCAGACCCTGTCTGAGGACGACCCCACGTGAGTCTCACACCCCTCTCGTCCAGTTACAAGGAAGGAGTCATCATTTTCCCAAACAGTGAATCTGGCTTCTAACGCTACACCATAGCAAGGCCTTCAACAGAAAAGGAGCACGCTTTGAACTGATCCAAGGTATCCAGCTGTTCAAGTCCGCACTCCCCCAGTCTTGGCCTCATTTCCAAGGCCGACCAGAAAGCTCAACAGAGCAAACTCCACTCCATCTGTGCCCCAAGATCCTAGAACTCTTTTAGGCTTCAAGGATCTACTAGCCTGTCAGTTAAATTCCCCAGCCAAATGCAAGCAGAGGAGGAAGCACGGCCCGGCGTCGGTTACCTGGCTGCCAGCCTTTAAACTTCTCAGCCAAAAGTGGGCAGAGGACACGCAGCCCCGGCCAGAGAACCTGCAGAGTCTGTGACCCGTGAAGGGCACAGCAGGGCAGGATTCACCCCCGTGGCTGCTGGCACCTTCTGGAAGCGAAGTGACAGCGTGCCCAGTGCCAGTTGAAGAACTGTCCCGAGATGCTGGCTGAGGTGCGGCCGAGCCCTTGCTCTGAGCACGGGACCCAAGAGCCAGAATCCAGAAGCCACAGAAAGCATGACTAGGTCAACACTGCTGGTGGCACGGTCAGAAGAGCCTCGGTCTCCCCTTTACGTGCCTCCATTTCTTTCTGGAAACTCCACATCAGGGTTCTATACAAACATCAGACAATCATTTTGACCCTTTCGTGACCTGTGGTCTGCATGTGGTGGACCCGTACCTTCGGCCTCTCAGGCTTCCTGGGCAGCTCCTACCCCTGCTGGAACAGGACGGAGTGGGCCACTGCTGGGCGGACCTGAGGACACAGGCCTCACCTCACCAAGCCCACCACTAGTCTCCGTGTGGACAGATGCATCCCACATAATCCTATTAAAGTCCTTTCTACCTCAAAACACGTTCCTTGATTTCAGTATGCCTTCCACTACTGAGGACGCCACATGAACAGACTTCAAGCAGACAACAGCCTGCTGAGTAAAGCGTGTAAAGGGCCCATCTGCGAAGAGCTGCCTCAGTCGCCGTCCACTTACTGCTCAACGGGGAGGGGCTCCTTTGCCGCTTCCGCCAGCTCCTTCTGCAGCCGGGCCTGCCGCCGCCTGGGGAAGAGGGAGAACAGCCCCCCATTTATGTCTGCAGAGCATGGGTGCCCGCCTCAGCTCAGTGCAGTTACAGGGAGCAGGTGCCCCCAGCCCCACTGCACTGATCGAATACAGGACACTCATCCACGCGGTCTAGAAGTCCCTCATGGAGAAGGTGTGGGAGGGCAGAGTGGAAGGGGCCTGCCTGTGGGAGGGCCCAGGGCCTCCTTGGTGGAAGAGGTCAGTCTCGAGGGGAGTTGGTTCTCTGCAGCACAGAGCCCTGCACGGGTACACTGAGGGCATGAAGCGGACAGTGCAGACCCGCTCAGGTGTAACTAAGGACTGTTTCCTTAGCATCTGTATTTATATAATGTAGAGTTTACTACTTTACAGATCTCCACTTATTCTCTTACTGACAAGTAGGGTCACCCCCGTTTTCCAGAGGAGGAAGCTGAGGCACACGCCGTAACTGGCGGCCGGTTTACGCGTTCAGCTGCTGAAGAGAAGACCCTGCAGGAGACCCAGGGATCGGCTCCTGTGCCCACCGCCGCCGCGGAAACACTACGGACCTCAGAGGGAAGAGTCACTCTGTGCGTCCCAGCCAGGACATACTCAGCACTGCCATCCAGCATCTTCCTCTCGGAACCCACGTCCGTCTCTCCTCCCCAAGTCCTTACACTCGGGAAGGTCCTGAACTTTCAGAAGGGGTCTCACTCTCTCCTCCTCCAACTACAGCCACACCCCAGCTGGCAAAGCTCCCAGCTCCACCTGACACCCCACTGAGCCTGCCCACGTTTGCTCCGGTCATCTCACGGAGGTGGACTGCTTCATCCCTCCTCCCACAAAGCGGCTGGTGGGTTCAAACTACCAACCTTTCGGTTTAAAGACAACACCGGCAGGCTTCCTTGCTGACACAAAGCACTATGTGCTTTATGTCCAGAGAAGCAGAAATTCTGAGTGAAGTGATGAATCCCATGTCTGCAGTCAAACCAAGACCCTCCAAGTTCACTGTCCTTGGCAAACATGCCCGATGGGACCAGGGCAGATAAGCCTCACGTGACATCCACCCTCCTCTGACGCTGACCCCCCACCCCCGTGAGCTCCCAGGCAGGTGCATCCCAGACGGCATCACTCCGCGGAGGTAGCCCCAGTCCTCACCACGTGCACATTCTAAGGACAGGGCCTGAGCCAAGCTGCTTCACTTACAGGAAACAACACAGAAAGAAAAGGTGCTGCCCAGGGCCTCTCATCAGACTTACAGCCCAGTGCGGGAGACACGAAAATCATGGATAGAAAGGCGATAAAAGGTACAGTCTCCCCTCCTGGAAATAAGACCCTCAGGAGGGCTTCACTGCTTCCTTTTTAAAAGATTCACATACAAGTGGGATCGTGCCGCATAAAACTGGTTTTTTTTTACCTCTCTTCTATTTTCCACTGTACTATTTTTATGTATTTTCTCCTGTCACTAAGCGCACCGTTTTAAATGGCTTTGAGCCCCACTGTATGGACGCACCTCTCTTTAACTCCCCAGGACAGTCTCCCTTCTTTTATCACCGAGAGGAGTGAAACCCCCAAACGGTAGGGGCCCAGCTGCTGCCGGCCGGCAGGAAGACACCCCCTCCTGCTGGCGGAGTTCAGCAGCCACATCTCTTTCTGCCTTTCTCAGCTTCCTCTGCTTCTCCTCACGGACTCGCCAGTAAGCACATGAATATTTAAAATGCATTTCTGATCTGTGCTTCTCTGACGGGAAGAACTTAGTAGGTGGTCTTGACTGAAATGCTCTTCCTTCCGTTTGTTCCTTTTTTAGATTAACTGGCATTGTCTCAATTCTCAGCTGTGGACATGAGGATTTTTAAAGACGTGCTCTAACTGTGGCGGTCTCTGGCTGGTAGTTTTTCTGTTGATTTTCTAGGTGGAGAGCCACCCTGATTCTGTCTTCCCCCCGACACTGGGCTCTGGTTTCACGGTCACATCCCGCTGGTGGCCAGCCCATGTGATCTGGCACGGAACGGTGGTGATACGGTGACAGGCTCTTCCTACCAGAGTGTCTGATGAGAGCGGCCCTTCACCACAGCTCTTCCAGATGCCCTGGGGACCGCTCCCACCGCTCACCCCCTTAGATGCTCTTGTCTGGGGAAGGGGATTCCCTTACTAAGATTCACCCCCACCCCTGCCCCCATCTCCCCTTACAGGACTTTCACATCAGTCTTCAGAGACTGGGTTTTACTGGCAAGATCCAAAATTTCTGGATGGGTTTAAACTTCTCCACAAAACACCACGGTTTAGAGGACAGCTTTCACCCTTTTCCTGCATTAAAGTTTGACAGATGAGGAATTCGCTTTCCTCCCTCAAACAGTGGGGAAATTCACTGGCAGAGGACGGCCAGGGCCACATAAGCCTTTGGAGGTGCGGATCTTCCTCTCGGCTGCTCTGACCTGGGCTGATTTTCCCCAGGGCACCGGACCTGCCCGGCCTCTCCCTCCGGAGCCCGACCACCTACCACCTACCTGGAATCCTTCTCGTTCTCTGCATTCAAGCGGTTGGCCTCCTGGGCCTTCTCAGCCATCCAGCGGGTGACCAGCTCCTGGTTCTCCTCGGTGGTCTTCCTCAGTTTCTCCTCCAGGGCGGTGAAGGTGATCTGCAGGGCGTCGTACTCGTCCTTAAGGGTCTGGTTGACGATCTCCAGGTCCTGCAGCCTGTTGCGCAGCTCTTGGCACTCGTTCTCCAGCTCCGAGATGGTCTGTAAACACTCTGCGATTCTGCAAACAGGATGGGGGTGGGGTGGGCGGGGGCCTGGCCACCACAGGCCACCGCCCAGGCACGAGTGTGCCGCTTCACGCTAACATGTCCGGGGAGACCCAGCTGCTGGCTGGACACCCCCTGCCCCCCCCCGGGTCGCTGTGAGAGGGAGCGACCCCCCATGACAACGTGTGGGGCGATGGGAAGAGCTCCATTCAGAACCATTCAGAAAGGCAGAGGTGTGGGTAGAAGGGGCTTGCGAGGCAGGCTGGAAACCCCACGTGTTTTGCCAGCAATACCTTACTAACTGTTCATTAGATTTTCACTGGCCAGTTTTATCAAAACAGTTACCATGCCCAGCTCCTCAGTCTACGGGTCTGGAAGCTTTGCTGTCTGTGCGCTGTGGGTGACCCTGCTGATACGTGAAATACCGGTGATACGGTTTCTAGCACCACTGAGGGTCGGCTAAAAGCAAGACGCTCAATAAGACAGACTTGACACCGAGACTGGACAGTGGGTCCAAGCACAGCCGTGACGGGGAAGTGCAGGACCGGGGCAGGGGCTCGCTCTGTGGAGCCACTGGGAATCGGGGCAAACTCAACGGCACCAACAACACAGCATCTACTGGTGCGAAGGCGCGAGCAGGCCCTGTGCTAGCCAAGGGCCCAGGAAGGAAAAGGCAAAGGTGCAGCGCAACCCAGACCTCTGCATCTGAGGTCCTGCTCCACTCAGGGACAGACTCCTGTCCTGCACACAGGCTGGTGTCTCAGGCAACTCAGTCCCATCTCAAGCTCTCTCCAGCCACTGATCACCTCCGGGACAAGTGCACCACCCCGGGAGTGTGACCACGACCCGGGAGTGTGACTGCGACCAGGGAGCGTGACCCCGACTCCAGCCTGGCCTCTTCCAGCCCCTGGAGCAGGCTGTGCTGTTGCTGAACACTCCCAGCTGCCTCTGCAGAGCGTTGACAGAGGCTGGAACTTGCATGGGAAGAGACTGCCCATCTTTCTCCTGCAGAGCAGCTGGTGGATCCAAACCACCTGCCTTCAGGATTGCAGTGCAGCTTCTTACCACCAGACCACCGAGCGGGTGGTATGGTCAGAGTCACGGCTCCCAGGCACACAGGTCCCACTGCCCCCGGACAGGAGAAGAGCGGGGTGCGTGACCCGTGACCCACCCTCACTCACTTGGCTTCGTTTGTCTGCATCTCCTTGTCTTTCTGCTGCATCTGGTTATTCAGGTCAATCACCAGCTGGGCCAGCTGAGGACAAAGAACACGGCACACAAGTGCTGTCAGGACCCAGGGGAAACCAACCGCTTGAAGGAGCCCTGGTGGTGCAGCAGCGAAGCACTCAGCGGCTATAGCTCAGAGGGAGGGACTTCCGGTCTCCCATAATCACAACCTGGGAACTTGGAGTTCTACTCAGTCCAACACGTCACTGGGAGTCAGCATCAACCTGACAGCAACAGGTCGAGTCGTCTTATTAAAAATAGAGGGCGAGGGCTCTTCCTGCCGGCCCTGACGTCCTGCTCAGAGGCTAGTCACTGGCGGGAAAGCAGCATTCTTCAACAAGGGTCTGGGAGGAGACCCTCACCCGGGGCGGACATGGTCCTGACTTTGAATGATCTCTCTGGAAGGTCAGGGTTCACGCTCACCAGCTGTTTGATCCTCTGCTCCACATACTCTCCATACACACGGGCTGGGATATTCTAACAAACCTTCAGGGCATCAAGCTGCCACTTCTGTCACCGCCCCCCACGCTGCCCTGGGTGCCTCCCACACCAACCTTGGGATACGGTGACCAGGGTTCTCTCACTAGCCTGTCTTCTCTCCTGAGGTGCCCACCACCATCTGATGCCTAGATACACAGCAAGTGCCGCAAACTGGCAAAGAACCCGCACCTTCTGTGGGAAGCAGGCCCACCCTGCAAGCTGTCAGATGTTCCCGAGGACCCAGAGGTCGGGGAGCACCACTCCTTACCTCCCCGCGCTTCTTGTGCAGCTCCGTCAGCTCCTCTTGGTGTTTGATCCTCAGCTGGGCCATCTCCTGCAGCTGACCGTCATTCCAGGGGCCCTCCTGTCCGGGACTACATCCCCAAACCGGGTAAGGAAGGAACAGGAGAGGAGAGAGAAAAAAATAAGGCGCCAAACTTGTTTAGTGAGACAGAGAAACAAAAGCCAGCATTTTAGACATCATGGCTAGAGAGCCAACAAGAAATCTGCTTCTTTAGGCAGCGAAAGACACCAGTCCAAGGGGCCCGACATGGGAGCCAGGTGGTGAAAACACTCCCGTGGTTGTGGCCCAGGGAGGAAGGAGGGTGTGGAATGGAGTCTGGTGAAGACAGAGCAGGCAGCTGGGCTCACACTGGGGCCAGGCTGCTAGATGGGGCACAGCCAGCAGTGGGCAAAGGCCGAGACAGAGAGATGGGACAGCGGGCCTCCACATGCCTGACAGTGCTGCCACAGCCTAAACCAAGATGGCAGATGGGGGTGGGGTGGTATGCTCAGACACTGGGGACACCCGTGTCCAGGGGCACAGGTGACTTCTGAACTGGATGTGGAATGTGAGAGACATCCTGCCTCTCAACTTGCTGAACAGGTAAAACAAAGGAGCAACCGTCGGGGTCTGAGGAAGGACATAAAGAGTTTAGAGCCAGACATCCAGGTGAAGTTGCCTATTGATCTGAACTTCAAAGGGAGGTTCAAGTTCAAGGCTTCCAGGCAGCCAGCAGCAGAGAAAGGATCCTGATGCCATACAACTGCACTAAAAGCCTCTCAAGACTCCCTGCAGTTTGTTAATCTGCATTCAGACACAGCAGCTCGGGACAGGAAGTACAGACTTCTAGTTCAGGGGTCTCAACCAGAATGACAGGGCAATCATCAGACCACAGTGGGCAATGAAGCCAGCAGCACCCGGGGACGGTGCAGAGGAGTTGGAGAAAGGGCGAGGGCTGGAATCTAGAGATAAGCCCCCCAGGAGGGGGGGATCACAGAACACCAGCTAACCAACAATGAGCCCCCAGACGGGGAATGGGGCAGCCAATACTCTCCTCCAAGTCTGCCTCCACAGATGTTTTTCAGTGCAGCCGCTACACACCCCCTAATCCGTCATCCTTAGCGGTCGGTCACCTGGGCCCCTCACCATAACCCGTGAAGTACTGCGGATTACCGGATGAAGCAGTTCTAGCAAACCACCTGGAACTAGGCAGGGAATTAGAAGACGGTCTAGCTCCACAGTTGTGCACAACATAATGAACCTCACTCTTCCATACACGTGAAGAGTGTGGAAATGTCAAAGATGTCTCTCTGAGGACTAAGGTGCACCTGACCCACGTCAACTCACATGCATACAACAACTTGACCATGCATAAGACGATCAAGGAATTACAGTGCTGGCAAAGAGAACAGAATATGCCACGGACCATGAGGAGAAGAAACAATTCTGTGAGAGATTCACTCAGCCAGTATGCTCCTGGGATCGAGGCTGGTGAGATTTCTGCTTACACTAATTTCCCCTCCTTCGTTGCTCAAAATAATAAAAGCAAGCTTGATGCAAAGTGTCCATCTGATTTCACAAGCTATTAACTCATGAAATATTGAAAATAACGAGGTTTAAAAAAAGACAGGGAATGGGGCCGCCAGTAGAGATAGAACCCTAGTTTATAAACATGGAACTTATTTATGTTAGTTGATTTTCTCCTTACAAGATCTGAGTAAAATTGTGCAAAAGTATCTTTTTTTCCCCCAGGTGAACCTAGCAGGCAAGAAGTGAGACTGGTGGGCGAGTTACCAGCAAACCTGCTCAGAGGACTCCCTCACGCCATAAAGTGCTGAATGAGGACACTGTTCAAGGAGACACAGAGCTCTGAAAAATGATTTCATTACTGGCTCCAGCAGTTTTTATTTGAAAAGAGCTTCCTGAAATCTGAACCCAGAAACTGTACTTGATTTGCTTCTAAATCAGGGAAGTGTCAACCGAACTTCTAAACAAATTCCAAAGAAGGCCTAGATAAGAGAACTGAGTTCACAATACCTTATCTCATGTCTGTTTGGCACATCGTGTTTTTCGGCTTGTAGCTTATGGGCCAACACAGAATGAAGATCTGACCTTTCCAATAACTTGTTATCTATGAAAAAAGAGAGACATGATTAGTTATAATTATTATAGTGCATGCACACTTTGTTGTTGTTAGGTGCTTCAAGTTGAGTATGACTCATACAGACCTAAGTTTTCAGGAACACAGATATTGTTACTTGTGTGCCTGTCTTCATGGCTTGCTGTGAGATGTACAGCATGTTACCTGTCAGTTCATTATACTGGGCATTGATCTACAGGCTGCTCATTATAGCTGGGTGTGTATATGTTTGCCTACAGTTTGCCCCAATTAGGAGAGCACTTGTCTGTCCGTCCACTGTACTGGTGTAGCTTGTGGGCTGCTGTGATGGTGGAGGCGACACCACTGGTATGTCAAACACCAGGAGGGTCACTTGCGGGCAGGTTACAGCAGCAGCTGCTAAATTAGGACGTGTACTCAAGAGCAACGGTGTCTCTCTGGAGACTAAGGTGTGCCGGACACAGGCCATGGTTTTTGCAATCACTTGTTATGCATCAAAGAGTTGGACAATGACTAGGGAGGATAGAAGGAGAATTGACGCTTTTGAGCTGTGGTGCTGGAGAAGAGTATTGTATGTACTATGGACTGCTACGAAAACAAACAGATTCATCCTAGAGAAGGTTAAACCAGGCTGCTCCTTGGAGGCAAAGATTCTGGGGCTTCATCTGACATACTTTGGACATGTTGTAAGGAGAGACAGGTCTTTAGAGAGGGACATCATACTGGGTAGAGTGGCGGGACAGCGCAGGAGGGGAAGACCCTCTATGAGGTGGATTGATTCAGTGACTGGGGTACTCGGGATGGGAGTGTCAGAGGCAATGAGATGGGCACAGGATAGAGCACGGTTTAGGGTTGTTGTACATAGGGTCACTATGAGTCACAAACGACTCGACGGCACGTAACAACAACAACAACAACAACAACAAAGAAGCAGGACTGGCCATTCTCCTCTGCAGTAACAGGCCTCTGCACACCACCTTTTCGTTACTCCATCTTTTCTAAAGGTTTGGGCTAAAAGAATAACCAGAAGGCAACCTGGGCAGCCTCACCTTATCAGGTATCAAAGAGCCCCGTCCTGTACTTTGGTACCTGGTGTAGCAATGGTGCAAATTCCACCAACAAACATTCCTCCATGCTTCCTGGGCTCGGCAGGGGCAGCCAAACCAGGTAGCTATATACATGCAGGAATGTCCCCTCTACGGAAGCCACAATCACCTACCCCCACGCCCAAAATAGCAGTTTTTTACTCAGTAGTTCAAAGCCACACCGACACCACCTACAGCATCATGAAAAGTGAACTGGCATGCCCAGCATCTAGGAGAGAGCTTTACCACGACTTGGAAAATGACTTGCTTGTAAAAAAGACTGACAAACAGGACAGTCCTGAACCTCAAGTATAACGCGGGGCAAAAAGATAACGAGGGGCAAGTACAAGCAGGTAGAGGAGCAGGCATTTCCAAGATCAGTTTCCTGGCAGTCACCCCCGTGTCAGGTCTCAGGGAGCAGCAGTCAGGCAGAGAGCATCACCAAGTCGGTCGCCTGGTGAGTGGCTGAAAATCAAGGTCAGTGTAAATGTAGGGAAGGAAGGGCGCAATGAGACATTTCAAGTTTTTCCTGCTGGGGATGATGAGATAACCAATTTTAAAGCAGGTGTGTTTGAAAACGCGATCAGATTTATGGAGCTAAGAAGTCCAAGACTACTCTGTCCTCATTCAGGTGACTGAGGACAGAAAACCTTGGAGGGGCGAGCTTGGGGAAGAAGAAAATACACTCCCTTTCTGAACACAAATCAGTGATGGGGACTTTTCAAGTGTCAGGGCTCGGGGGGACATGGAGTTAGAAATGAGACACACAGAGAACAGATGTGAGTAAGCAGAGCAGGACGCCGACCAGGGGAACCCTGAAGAGGGGTTCACAAAGCTGAAGAGCCCAAGACTGCAGCTGTTTAGCACGTTGCCGCAGATGACGGCAAATGTCTTTCTAAGCACGGTCGTCAATTTAAAATGTGTGCGGCAACGTGTTAAGAGAAAACGGGGGGAGGGTCTGTGCTAGAGACAGCGTCTACAAGAAGTCCTGCATCACTTCTCGACACCTGAGAATAGAACTCTTGGGCAGAAACAGAAACACCGTCTTCACCAACATGAACCTGAGGAACTGACTGGGCTCAACAGGGAAGTGGTTCCAGGCTTGGTGATCAAGGGAGAGGGGAAGGTTTAAAATCTGCCAAAGAACTGGATTCTCCAGGATGTCGCACCAAAGCTGGGTGTCTCGTGAGGACTTCACATCTTCCGAAGGACATGGGGGATTCAAGGAGGACGTTTCTCAAAAGTTCCATTTACCCAAGAGGACGGATGTGGGGAGAAGCCCCCACAACATCTCTCTTGAGGCTCAGCTCTGGGAAGGCAAGCGAGGTGCGAAGTGCTCTCTCCAGAGTCCCCCCTCCAGGCTGTGTCTCCTCTCTGCTCCCCTCTCCCCTGTCAATTCTGACTCACAGGGGGCCTACAGCACAGAGTAGAATGGTCCAGGGGATTTTCCAGGGCTATCCATCTTCACAGGAGCAGACAGCCTCATCTTCCTCCCTTGGAGGCAAGTGGGTTGTTGTTTGCTGTTATGTGCCGTCTAGTCACTTGTGACTCATAGCGACCCTATGTACAAGAGTCCTAAACCCTGCTCTGTCCTGGGCCAACCTTGGAGTGGGTCGGGGGTATCAAAGGCTGACCTTCTGGGTTGTAGGCAAACACTGACCAATGTGAACACAGGGCTCATTCTTACCCTGTTCGAGCTGTTTACTGATGCCTGCTTTTCTCTTGCATCTTCCTGCCTCGACAAATGTCTGAGTGCAGAGAATTCAATTTCTGTGAGACTAAAAGCCCTTCTAGACTACAATATCGACAGTTTTCAAAGCACTTAACTGCACAGCATGGTCACAATGCAGGCAGGGCTTCACTGCCATTTTATAAGGAACATCAAAGTGGATTCAGACAGGTTAAGGGAGAGGGAAACATGGGTGGGGCCAGGCCTTCAAGGGATTCTCTCAATGTGGACTGTCTTTTAAAAGCGAAGAAGCTTGTAAGTGGATTTAGCTCAGGAGATCTTGGGATCATGGGCATAAAGGGGGCTTCCTGTGCTCCAGGCCTTGGGGAGGGCACAGAATTCACAGCCTTCCCACCCTCAGGGAGGTGCCTGTGAACACAAAGGCAGTGTCCCTTTGGGGGTTCAGATTCACAAGCTTCACGCGTTGAGTGCAGGACAGTCTCCTCCACACAATTTACAGGCTCCTACCCCCGCCTCCACGAGTCAGTTCTGAGGGCATTGGGTCTGAGGGGTTTTGTGATGAGAATGTGCTCAGTGAAAGTGTGGGCAACTTCTGAGAGCCAGTGAGAAAAGCAAACACATCCAGCCCGAGTGCAAGTCCTACCCTGAACAAGCTACTGGGCCTCTCTTAGCTTCCTCGAATGCACAAGAGCAAGACCAGCATGTGGGGCACAGCAGCTGGGGTGGGGTGGGGGGCAAAAGGCAAGAAACACCTGCCAAACACACAAGCTTGTACACAAGAGCAGAACCCTGGCTGATCCAGTGCGGTCCTCGGCATCTGTTCATCTCACAGCCTTCGAGGTTGTTATCAGGGGTCAGACCCTGGACAACATTATACTAGGAGGGTCTGCGAAGGAGAGGAAGACCTTGACGACATGAACTGGTACCGTGACTGCACCAACGGGCTCAGGCGCAGCACATGGTTAGATCAGCTGACAATCACTTTTGGAAGCATCAACGCTCACACCTGTGTCCATCTCCAGATACTGTGAGGTTGTCTGCAGTGTGACATGGGCTTTTATCATTTTTAAAAGCTCTTTAATGCGGGAGGCAGCACATGTGCCAGTAATTAAGAATTAACAGTGGGGTGTGGCATGGAAATATGTGGCTTATTCCAGTGCATCTGAGAGCACTCACAATGTCTCCAGAAAAATGCGAGGAGGCTGAGAACACCAAATCTCTCATGCCCAAAAGGGAGCTCTGGTAGTGTAGGGGTAAGAAACTGCGCTGCAAGCCCCAAAGCATGTAGTTCAAATCCACCAGCTGCTCCCAGGGCGAAAGGTGGGCAATCTCCTCCCATGCTGATTTATGCCTCCAAAAATCCACTACGGGTGCAGCTAAAAGCTGGTTCTAATTCGATGGTACACAACAACATGCCAAGGTTACAACGTGATACAGACTATGTCTGAGTCAAGACGGGCTGAAACAATCAGGTGACAGTTTAGATTCACAGGCACTGCAGGGCAGTGAACTCCCCGTAGGGTCTCTGAGACCGTCATCCTTAGGGAAGCCGACCAAGGCCACTGCCTCCTCCTGCAGAACTGCTCAAGGCTTCCAACCTTTCCGTTAACAGCACGAAGCTGAACCACTGCTCCACCCCAAAACGTGGCCTAGCCTTTAAGAAGCAGTGCTGCAATCCCCAATCCCCACGGTTCGAATGCACCAGCTGCTGCGTGGCAGAAAGGTGTGCTATCTCCTCCCGTCTGATTGACTGCATCTGAACACCTGCTGGAGGTTCAGCTACGAGTGGGTTCCACGGCACACAACAACAACCACTCAGACAGAAGTCAAACCACTGCTGCGGGCTCGATTCCCACTCCCGGCGCGGCGCAGCCTCCGGGATCGCCAGGGCTGTCCTTTCGAGGGGAGCAGATGGCCACGTACTTCCCCACGGAACCAGCTGGTGGGTCTGCGCTGCTGGCGAGGCCAGCGCTCACCCACGGTGTCACCAGTCTTTTTTCACAGATGCGCGTTGACGCGCACAGGCAGGGCCCACTCTGTTAACACAACCACCTGTCTACACAGACTGTCTTCCTATTTAGGCTGCTGGGTTTTAGACACACACGATCGGTGACCGCCCGCAAAGGAACCCCTGGCCACGAAGACCCTGCACGCTGGTCTCCCGGGAGAGGACGGAGGGAAGGGCCTGGAAAGGCGCCGGGGTGGGGAGCGCGGGGACCCCCGTGACCTGGGGAGCGCGGGGGAGCCCGGTGACCCGGGGAGCGCGGGGACCCCCGTGACCTGGGGAGCGCGGGGACCCCCGTGACCTGGGGAGCGCGGGGGAGCCCGGTGACCTGGGGAGCGCGGGGGACCCCGGTGACCTGGGGAGCGCGGGGGACCCCGGTGACCTGGGGAGCGCGGGGGATCCCGGGGCTCGAGCGCCCGCCCCGCGCCCCGGCCTGCAGGCCCCGCTCACAGTGCAGGATGATGTCCTCGAACGCCTGTCTCTGCAGCCGGTCGCGGCGCCGCAGCTCCTCCGAGATGTGGCGCTTCCAGCGGGGGAAGTCGGCGGCGCGGAGGCCCACCGCCATGGCGCTGCCCGGCGCCTCAGCGCCACCGACGCGAGCGGGGGCTCGGGGTCGCGGCCCGCAGCATGGAGCGAGCGGCGCGCGCCGAAGGCCGGCAGCACCCCCGGCTCCGGTCCACCAGCAGGCCGCCCTGACGCCGTCCGGGAGGGACTTCCGGTTCCTGCCGGAAATGGTTCGGCAGAAGGGCCGGAAGGCCCGCCTCCTCGCCGGCGCCTGGGGTCTCCACTGGCGGCGACGCGAGGCCCGTCGCGTCCTCGTGACGTAGCAGGAGCCCGGCGTGGTCAGGGTGTGGGCGTGGCCCCCCGGGTCCGCTTCGCCTCCGCTGCTTGCGAGGCTTGCTTGACTCCTTTTCTCTGTGTGTGTTTTCTCTCTTGATTTGACTCCCATTTCTACATATTTTAAATTTACAAACAAGAGGTCGAGTCCACGCCACGTATGGCAGCACTGTCACGGTGGACGAGTGACACCTTCCTAAACTCAGTTGTTGTCGTTATGTGCCATCTAGTCGCTTGCAGCTCATAGGGACCCTGTGTACAAGGGCCCTAAACGCCACTCTATCCTGTGCCAACCTGGCCGTCTCAAACACACTCATTCCCACCACCCCAATCACAGAATCGGTCCATCTCATCGAGGGTCTTCCTCTCCGCCATCCCTCCACTCTCCCAAACATGATGTCCCTCTCCAAGGACCAGTCCCTCCTTGCAACATGCCCAAAGTATATGTCAGATGAAGCCTCATAAATCCTTGACTCCAGGGAACATTCTGGCTTCACCCTCTCCAGGACAAACCTGTTTGTTCTCCTAGCAGTCCATGGTATATTCAACACTCTTCTCCAGCACTACAGCTCAAAGGCATGAATTTTCTTTCAGTCAACCCTATTCACTGTCCAACTCTCCGATGCATAGCATGTAATTGCAAAGACTATAGCTCTGATCAGGCACACCTTAGTCTCCAGTCTGGCATCGTTGCTCTTCAGTACTCTTGAAAGGTCCCTCACAGCCGACTTTCTCAATGCAATTTGTCTCCTGATTTCCTGGCTGCTGATACCAAGAGCGTTTACTGTGGAACCAAGCAAACTAAAACTGTTAACTATTTCAATCTCTTCACCATCCATACTGATGCTGCCAATTGGCTCAGTGGTGAGAATCTTTGTTTTCTTGATAATGAGCTTCAATCCATATTGAAGACTGCAGTCCTTGACTCACTTAGCGCATCTGTAAAATGATGATACTGAAGTCCTAGACTTGATTTTGGATTAAAAGGAGTATTATTAACTCATGCATAGCCATGCCTCGAGGACACTGAGGGTCAGTTCCAGACAACGGCAAAAAAAAAGTCTCTTGAAGTTTTTGCTTTTCCATCTTTATCAATGTTCATATCTGCAGTGAGGAAGCTCTGGTTGTCTAGTGGTGAAGAGTTGTGCTGTCAGCCCAAAGGCAGGCGGCTTGAATCGACCAGTTTGCTCGTGGGGGAGGGGGGGAGGGAGGGGAGATGGTTAATTTCCTCGTGATTTACAGTATCTGGAAACGCGCTAGAGAGTCAGCTATGACTTGGTTTCAACTTGATGGCACAGAACAGGAACAGCAGCACATTGCAGTGTACTTAGTGTGCAGTGGCATTACGAAAAAAAATGTTTCCAATATTGTGAAAAAGGCCAAAATGAGACAGACATGAAAGAGAAAGTAGAGTGGTGAAAAACGGCTCTGCTAGAACTTTCTTGATGCAGGGTTGCCAGGGAAAAACAATATATATGAACTTTGTAAATAAACTAGTATAAAAGAAAAATTTTACAAAACAGTTATAAGATATTGTCTCACCCCAGTAAGAATAGCAAAATTTAACAGAGCAGCAAACAACAAATGCTGGTGAGGTTGCGCAGAAACTGGAACCGTTATTCACTGTTGGTGGGAGTGTAAAATGGTGCAATCACTATGGAAGGGTGTATGGTGCTTTCTCAAAAAGTTGCAAATAGAAATATCATTTGACCCAGCAATTCCACTGCCGGGAATTTACCCTAAAGAAACCATAACCACCACCTAAGCATATATATGCATACCTATGTTTGTTGCGGCTTTGTTCACAATAGCAGAGTTGGATACAACCTAAGTGCCCATCAACAAACAAATGGATAGAGGAGCTCTGGTATATTCACACAATGTAATACTACGCTGCATTGAAAAACAAGGAACTCATGCAATATTATTTCAAATGGGTGACCCTGGAGGACATTATGCTGAGTGAAATATCTCAGTCACAAAAGGACAAGTGCTGCATGGTGTCACTATTTTAGAACAGGACTGGCATCAGGGTTGGGGTGAGATTGAGAAAAATTGGATAAATTATGTATACTGCATTGAAACTGCTGAGGGAGAGAAAACTGTTTAAAAGCGATATATGATTGGGTATTATGGTTATGACAAGAGTCCAGAATGAAGGTTGCATAGTGGAGTGTACTCGGGGCGGAAGGGGGGATTCTATACCAATGAAATAATTTTTCTTTTACTTTTCAAAGAGAAGAGTGAACTGGGGGGAGGGGTGGGCAGAAAGAAAAATGCAACAATGAATGTATGGAAATCTAAAATCTCTGTCAACATTCATTAAAACCTCTGTAAACATTCACTATTAATTAAAATTTTATTTAAAAAATGAATACCTGAAAAGATCCATAAAACATAAACAAAGGAGATATGCCTGTAATGTAATTACCACTGCGTGTGGCCCATGCTGTATTGTTAGGTGCTGTTGTTCCCGTCCTATGTACAACAGGACAATTTTGCCAAGTCCTGCATTGTCCTCACCGTTGCTGTCATGTGTGAGCCTTGTGCTAGTCCATGTTGTTCAAAGTCTTCTGCTTTTGTTTAACCTTTCCTGAAATAATGGGCTCAAGTGTGTTAGTGATGGTGAAGGTGGCAGAGCATGGGCGGGGTTCAGATCTGTGTTCACAGGTAACTGAGTTGTGCTCAAGTCAGTGGCACATGCCAAGTGCTACTTTATCACGTGTCATGCTCTTCCACAGGGACTGCTGCCCTTGCTGACCTGTCCAAAGCACAGGAGAGGAAGTCTCACCACCCTTGCTTCTAAGGACCCATCTGACTGCACTTCTTGCAAGACTTGGTAAACTAAGTCTATATAAATATTCACAGTATCCCTCTAATGCCTACACAAAGTCTGGATGCGCTCCCCTTTCTCACTACCTAGGAAATAGGTTTATTTCCAGGGAAGCGGAACACAGACAGGAACTAAAGGAAGGTGTGAAACGTGCGGTAAAAACTAGCATATGTTATATATATGTGCGGGCGTGTGCGCACACACACACACACACACACACACATACACACACACACACACAGAGTTACATGTCCATAAGTAGGCTCTGACTCATAATTACTCTCTTTACAAGAGAATAATAAGCTTTCAGAATTTGGGCCACACAAACTCTACTGTACTTTCTTTTTTTTTTTTTTCTAGTCACAGTGTCAATGTATCTAATTGAGAATCTTTTCCACCTTTACTGATTCTCTACTTTTCCGAGCAAAATGTCTTTCTCAGGCTCAGGTCCCTTCTGATGACATGATCAAAGTATATGTAACAAAGTTTCACCACCCTTGCAAATGAGCAACACTCTGGTTGCCCCTGTTCAGAGTTAGATTTTATTTTCAACACATTAGAGAGGTTCTTCACAGTAGGTATACCCTTCACAATATGTTAGATTTGTTGTTCGATTCCTTGGCTGCTACTTTCATGAATACTGACTGCGGATACAAGTAAAAGAAAATAAAAAATAACTTTCAAAACAAACAAACAAAAAACCCAACAAACTAGCAGAACCACTTGGTATTGAGCTGCCTTTGGCTCATGGCAAACTCAGTGTGTGTCAGAGTACACCCTGCTCTGCCCTAGAAATAGATCCTGTATAGTCACGGACTCAAGACAAGGACCAGGATGTAAAGGCAGCTTTATTAAAGGATCTCCTGGGTGAGGTTCATTGGTCTGGAAAGAGAAGCCGAGGAAGTTGCGCCCAGGGTGTGTTTGGGCAGCTTTTTATAAGAGAATCTTAGGGAAGGGGGAAGGGGGAGGACATTCTACTGTAGTTACTCCTTGGTCACACCAGGAGGTGAGTCTGTTCATTCTTTTTGTTGACATGCTGCAATTCCCAGTTTTCTGTGCTAATGGACCACACTCTTCAGTTGACCAATTACAGAACTGAAGAATGTGATAGTCACCACAAGACACCAAAGGACCAGACAAATTCATCATCCTCCATCACCCCACCACCCCCAGCCTCAGTTTCAGCTCATCACATCCAAACTCCTCCAGTGCTGGGAGCCCTGAACTCTTAAGTATTTCACACATACTAATTCATCTTGTTATATGCAGGTAACATCACCTTACTGGAATATCGAAGCACTCACTGATGAACCTTAAAGATGAAAGCCTTCAGTATGTATCCCACCTCAACTTAAAACAGAAATCCTTGCAATTGGACCGGTAAGCAACCTGATGATAAATGCAGAAAAGATTGACGGGTCAAACATTTCATTTTGCTGTGTGTTAAAAGCTAAATTCTGAAGCATTTGGTTTGTGGAAGGCTGTGGTTAGAGTGGGAGCCGTAATTCCATTGTGATTCTTGACCTAAATTCAGGCAACATTTGAGTTTGTTTCTGACCTTTGAACCAACCGTGTGGCCATGCTTAGGAATTCCAGGTGAATCTAGGGAGGGAAGTGCGTCCTCAGGAAAAGACAGCTGAAAATAGAAGACAGCTCTTGGGATCACACTTACTGTTGTCGGTTGTTGTTAGGCTCAAGTTGGCTGAGACTTGCAGTGACCCGATGAGCGGCAGGTCTGACCGTGGCTCGACGCTGCATCGTCATCACCATCTCATCCTCTCTCTAAACTTCGGAGCGGCCCTTGGCAGCCGACTTCCCAATGCAGCATGTCTTTTGATTTCTTGACTGTGGTACCAAGAAAAATCATTGATAATTTAAATTTTTAATCACGATTT